CGAAGTTCTGGGTTCGACTTATCGCGTCTTGTCTGGACGCGATAAGTCGAACCAGGAAGTGATCGCCGTCGACTGCAGTACTCCAGCTATACGAGAGGAGTACCGCGGCGTCGACGGGGGAGCCTGCCTGCCGCGTGTGGACCGAGGTAAGTTCGAACTAAGGTACTTCGACTTCAGCTACGTTATTCACGTAGCTGAAGTTGCGTACCTTAGTTCGAATTGGGGGGTAAGTGTAGACCAGGCCTAAGAGGAAGGAAGCCATTATAAGATAACTAGCACCAGTGGATGTTATCAGATAAATTGCTTGAATTGGCAAAGCTTTGTTTCTTTTATATCCATTTCTGCCCACATACATTTTCAAATGAGTTATTTAGTTAGCATTGTATATAGTTCTTTTAGGGTGTTGCTGATAGCAGTGATGCAGAATTAACTAGAAAAGCACACCTGAAAAACTAAAATCTCAGTCTGCATCAAATCCACTGCATGTACTTTCTAATGTCGAAAAAGTTTTAACTGTTCGAAGCATCTGTTACGCAGGGTCACTCTAGTATGATCACTCTAGATACTGCTCCATCTGAAAATTATGAAAACTGAATATTCTTGAAAATGCAGTTTTTACTTGATCTTAAAAATACTAATTAACTGGTGAGCATTGTGACATCAGTCACTCAGAGTCACCAGTGTGTCTGTGTGACTCTTTCAAAATCAGGATTGAAATAATTTTGCATGGCTAAGATCTCTGTATCCTATTGTTCCATAGTCGTAATGCATACAGTATCAACAACAGGTGTTAATACAAAACCCAGTGTATAATAATTAGTGTAAGGATGATAGGAATATTTGTATTGCTGTTGGTGGAAGCCTTAGGACAATAATATATAACCAGTGGTTTTGGTTCCCTGCTCAGTGTGCTGAAAAGCCTTTTTCAAAAGGACCTAATATTTATAAAGTTTTAGTTGCAGCAGTTAGGAGATCTGATCTTTGCAGGCTCACCCCATATGGTTTTAGTTCTGCCCATGATGCATTTATACAATGATGATTGTGGAGGAGGAACACATTTAAAATTCTAAGTACAGTCTGTAGCAGTATGTGTAATGAGAGAACTTGAGAGCTATGGTGGGAAAATCCTGTGGATCTTATTTTCATTACAGTTGCATCCACTTCTCAATTTCTGCCTAAGAGCAGTCTCACTGGGAGGGCACTTTGGGACCGCTTTATTTTTAGAAATATGAGCAGCCAACATTTTCTTGTTATAAAATTCATTATGGAATTTTTATGTTGCAAAAATGTATAATTGAAAACTATTAATGTAAGCTAGATGTCTTGGTGTGTTTGCTGTTTACAAGTTGACAGTAAAGTTTTTATATCCTATGCCTCAGGTAAGCTATCTGCCTAATGGTTTTTATATTCATGTGGTCTACACTTAAAGTACAATACATAGTGCTTACTGCGTATTAAACTGTAGTGTATTAATTTAAAAGTAACTTTTTTGTGGTGGTGGATTTCCAGTAATAACCTGTTAGCCCATGATTTACAGCAGGTTGATGGTATGCTTTGAATGTACATATACACAAGGAAATCCAAGATTTGGGGCATCCTTTTTCTCCTTGTAAACTTCTAGGCTATGAGAAATTAGGCTCCCATCAAAAGGTAAAGTATTTTGCTGTTAAGAGCAAATCATAAAATGCTTATTCTTGATTTGAGAATAGATTTAGAAATATTTTCAGAGCTAAAAGAGAATGTTCAGACTAAGGGTACGTCTTCACTACCCGCCGTATCGGCGGGTAGCAATCGATTTATCCGGGATCGATATATAGCGTCTCGTTAAGATGCGATATATTGATCCCCAAACGCGCTCACCGTCAACTCCGGAACTCCACCAGAGCGAGCGGCGGTAGCACAGTCGACGGGGGAGCCGCGGCCGTTGATCCCGCGCCGTGTGGACTCCAGGTAATTCGATCCAAGATACTTCGACTTCAGCTACGCTATTCACATACCTGAAGTTGAGTTTCTTGGATTGATTTCCCCCCCCCCCCCCCAGTGTAGACCAGCCCTAGGTATTACATTTCACATAGTTTCCCTCTCATACTATACTGAGTATATTTTCTCATCAGAAAAACTTTGGCCATTTGTTCTTGGAACATTTCACTTTCCTCTGCCATTGAATTGGATATTTGCAAATTAGACATATTTGCGGTCCCTAATTTAATAATTGGCACTCCCATAATGTCCTCTATATGAGTATCTGAAAGTGCTTTGAAAACACTGGGCTATATTTATCATTCCTACTCCTGCACCTCTCTCCAGAAACTTCTCATTGACATCAGTAGTCCTTGCTCAGGATTCCCCAGGAGTTTTGTGGGGTAAAGATTGCTGAATAGGGGCCCGTAGCCATTTAAATCTCATAGCATCCTTTGGAGAAGGTAAGTATTATCATATATTTTTACGGAAGAGAAAACCGAAGTGGAGTGATTGAGAACTTGATTTTCTAAAAGTTAAGGACATAAATCTTCTTGTAACTGCATGCCAAATTTGCATGCACACTAACTGTGACTGTATGCAAATAGGTATTTGTATGTGAAAATGGCCATTTAAATGTATGGTTGGCCATGTTGCAAATGCATTTGTGTTTTCAACTTTCATCTGTGCCTAATTATTTGAAAATCAGGTATGAAAGGGTGTTCTTTGAGCTGTCAGTCACTCTTACCTCCTCTTGAAGTCATGAGAATTAAGGGTGCTACACACCTGATAGGATTGAGTCTGGAGTGACTTGCCCAAGGTCCTACAGGCAGTGGTGTAGGCAGGTTCTAAGTGCAGGGGGAGCAAACATAAAAAAGGCGCCCCCCCCCATGGCTCCTCCTCTGGCCGCGCCCCCCTTGGCTCCTCCTCCGGCCGCACCGCGTCCCCCCCCCCCTTGGCTCCTCCGGCCACGCTGCGGCCATGCTGCACCCTCCCTCGGAGGGGCTCGGTCCGGGGGGCGGGGGCCGGGCATGGCGCGGCCAAGGAAGTTTTTAGGGTGCGGTTGGAGAAGAGGGAGGAGAAGAGGCGAGAAAGTTTCACGCGCCCCCGGGCGGGACTCACCAGCTGCCGAGCAACCTCGGACTCGGAGGAAGCCATGACACCGCGCCGGGTGGCCGCCGTGGGAGGGGGAGGGGAGAGGCTCATGGGAAGCTCCAGGCGGTGCGGGCTGCCCCCCTGCCCTGAGGCCAGGCTGGAGGCTGCGGGCATGGGGAAGGGGTGGCGGGCGGGCGCTGCTTGCTTCTCCCAGGGGCTGGGGGGAGCGGAGCAGTGGGGCGGGCAGCAGCTGGCGGGCGGGCAGATCCCCCCCCCTCTCTCCGGCAGCTTCCTGCTTCCCTCGGCCCGGGTCTAACCTACGGTGTGGTGGGGCTGGTGGGCGCAAGCTGCTGCCGGGAGATGCTGCTGCTGCCGCATCCAGGGGCGGGGAGTGCTCGGCCGCCGAGCCCTGAGCCGCCGCAGGAGGTGGCCACGGCGATGTTGGGGCCACGCTGAGCGTGGGGCGCGATGGCTGAGGAGCCGGCCCCTTCGCTCCTCCGGCCACGCCCGCCCCCCCCCCCCCTGGCTCCTCCGGCCGTGCTGCCCCCCCGTTGCCTGCAGGAGCCCGGCACCGACCCGGCAGGCGCTGCTTTTGAAACATGTGCTGAGGGGAAGCGGCTGCTTCCCCTGCACCCCTCTACCTATGTTCCTGCATACAGGAAGTCTGAGGCAGACTCAGGAATAGAGCCCAGGACTCTTGATTCCTGCTGCAGTGGGTTAACCACCAAATTAGCCTTCCCCTGCCCTACTTTAGAAAACAACCAAACCTAACCCCAAGTTAGGTATTCTCACCCATTTTCTCATTTATGTATGTCTCCTTCTGTTGCTTTTTCAATATAGGGATAAAATATTCAAGAAATTTACAAAAACATGTATGCCTTGTTAAATTAACAAACCATGTCGAGTTCTGAACCCAAACATTGTGCTATTGAATGAAAATTAGAATATGCAATGGACCAGTGTTGCTCAGTTGTGCAAATGGAGTGAAATAAAACCATATACCTGAAGCATGACTAAAACATTTTCATAAGAGCTTGGCTTCCATTTGGGCACCTAACTAAAACTGCCACATTTTCAAAGGTGTTCAGTCCCTGGCAGTTTCCGTTACTCAGGATAAATTAGGAGAATCTTCAGTGGAATCACACTTGTATAAAATTAGAATACAGTAAGTGACATTAAAATCAGGCCTGGACTGTACAAAAGCATAGGTTTGTACTGCAGACCTGCACTATCAGTATCTGTACTGAGTAAGTGTAAAGAAAGAAAACCAGGCAGCCAGCTGTAGTACGTTATCCTGCATAACCATTCAAGGAACAGAAAAAATTCCACTGATGATATTCCCAGAAAATGAGTGGTCTGTCTGAGCAGATGGTTTAAAGCAGAGATGTGCTTGAACCAATGCATCAGCTCTGAACACCCCCAAACTTTGGGAGTATTTGAAATCAGGATCTAATTTTGTCTCTTTCACTTCTTTCCTGTATCTGAGAACTCTCTGTCTAAAAATTAAAACTCTTGAGGCTTGTGATTTGGTTAGGAGAATAAACAATTTTCCAGGAACTTACCTTTGAAAAGAAAGGTTCTAAATATTGAACATGTTGAATATGGATCTCCTCCAATTGCTGAGTGGCATACCCAGTCTCTGGGAAGCTGGTAAGTAAGTAAGACAGTTTTCTGCATCATTGTATCCTCTTGGCAGATCCATGCAGGATTATTGATCGTATCTTTTTTGGCAGATTCATGCAGGGCTGTTGATCCTTTTTTGTGAAGTGTCTGCAGAAAACCAGGTGATAAAGATCAGGGTAGGGGAGAGAGAGCAATAAAAGGATACAATTATTGACTGTTAAGTTATCTGTAATCATTAGAAATTGAGGAAAGTTATTGTAGCTAATGTGTATTTTTGATTAGCTTAAACCTTTAACAAAAGGGCTTTTTTTCTTGGTTGACAGCTGCTTGCAGTGGAAAACTGGAACAGCACACAGAGAGACGTGGAGTCATCTATAGTCCTTCCTGGCCACTAAACTATCCTCCAGCCATAAACTGCAGCTGGTACATCCAAGGAGATCATGGAGATATGATAACAATTAGGTATGATTTGTAGTGTTCTGTTGAGATAACAGATTGCTTTGCTGAATGAAGCATAAGAGCCTGTGCAATATGTTAATATGAAGTTGTGTCTAAAAGAACTGTAAAAACTATAGAGCCTTTGTGCTAAGAAATTTGTGGTTGATGCTTGGTGAAATATAATTGCAAGTCAGGAGGATCCTCTCATTTAAAAGATATCATGTAGTCTATTTAGGTATCTTAGGTAGTGAGATACCCTCAGATACTACAGTAGTGGGGCTATGTCTACACCCAGCCGCTAGTTCGGCGGCTGGCAATCGAAGTTCTGGGTTCGACTTATCCCGTCTTGTCTGGACGCGATAAGTCGAACCAGGAAGTGCTCGCCGTCGACTGCGGTACTCCAGCTAGACGAGAGGAGTACCGCGGAGTCGACGAGGGAGCCTGCCTGCCGCGTGTGGACCGAGGTAAGTTCGAACTAAGGTACTTCGACCTTCAGCTACGTTATTCACGTAGCTGAAGTTGCGTACCTTAGTTCGATTTGGGGGTTTAGTGTAGACCAAGCCTGAGTCCCTCACAATTTTTTTTAATGCACTTATCCTTACAATACTGCTGTGAGGTAGGGAAGTACTGTGATTCCCTTTTGGTAGGTGGGGAGCTAAGGCACAGGGAGACTAGTTTGGTCACATCAGCTGAACAATCATTTTGCCCCTTTCTTTACATTTTAATGGGAATGGGGACATGAGACTTGGATTAGGCTAGGGTTTGAGTTTAAGGTTGAACGAACGTTAGGACTCAGGTCTGAAGACAGCAAAATCTTGAGTTTTTCCTGTGAGAGATCTGCTTGAGTTGTCAGAAATCTTATGATATGATCCATTCTAAGGAAACTGGACAGCTCCCAGTTTTGGATTACTGTAGAGGGGTGGTTTAGATCTGGGGATTAGGCTACAAAACTACTTCCCATCTGACATTCATAGTTGGGAGACTTTGGATTTCAGGTTGTTATTCTGGCTCATGTCTGATCTAAGGCCATTCTCAGTAGTCACATAAGGAGAAAAATCCACAGATGGCAGAACTGAACATGGTATCCACAATTTTCGTGTTTACTCAGAGGGCTGGTTAATAACCCCTTGCAGATGGCCAGGCTAGCATCCACATTGTTAGCAATAATGTTTTTTAAATGGTATTGGTATATGGTAGTGGGAAATGGACTCCTTTACCAAGCAGTGACTAAAGCATAAATAGTACTTAACATGCTCTGAAAGAAATCAGAGGGGGTCAATCATAATCTGGGAGCAGCAGCTTTGGTAAGTCGGTGTTTAAAGTGAGTTGCTTGGCTCAATTTTATTTTTATTTATATATTTATTTTTTGCCTGGTCTGCAACCCCTTGCAAGCGCTCCATCTCCTCCCCTCCCCCCCACGTTATAAATACAGACACACACTTTAAGCACTGGGTATAAAAACAGAAGGCCAGTTTTTCAAACAAGACTTTTAAAATAGTCCCACAGAATTTGCCAGCAACCTATTTGCATGCTTTCCCACCTCCCATTTGCGTACAGAAATACACATTAGTGCAAAAAGTGATTATTATGCAATAAGTGATATGAATGCAGGCACGATCACCAATTGTATAGCTTCATTTTCTAAAGCCCATTTGAAAATTAGGCTCACAGAGATGTTTAAGATTCTCACAACAAAACAAAGAAAAGGGGCCTTTTCTGTAATTATGTCACAAAGTCATACAGTATGTAACTGATGGTTCAACATGTCATCACTACTCCATTAAATTAACATTCAGCAAAGCAAGTATTTCCTGTTATTTAGCACTTCCGAAAATAAGCAATTACCATTAGAGTTAGCATTGATGACATAATTTCAGACCTTTCTGGGAAAGCACTCTTAATAAAAGAAGCGCGCACACCCACCCACCCACCCACCCACACACACACGATACTTTGAACTCTAATGTTCACATACTGTGAAAATACTTAGTTTTCTGTGCTAATCATAGTATTCTCTTCAGACCAAGAACTGTTTATTTTTTTTAAAAAGCCATTTTTTTGTTTTTAACACTTCTGTGTTTGATACCATCTGGTGAGTTGTAAGCTCAGCTGCCTAAAAGGACTGCAAACCTCTTCAACTGCAGATGCTCTACAATTAAAAAGAAATCTGCCGCAGACGGAATAATAGGAGGGTTCCTTCTTCCATTGTTTGAAATAGGAACTAATTATAATAAACAAGCAAATGAATACCAGCCAGCATTTGAGATCCACAAGTAGGTACATACTTTCAAACTCCATTAAAATATACTGGACGAGAAGACTGAGCTTGTAAACAGAGACAGTTGGAAAGTAGGAGGAAATGCACTAATGAAATATAGAACTTTGCTTTAGGTGTACAGATGGCAGAAGAGTCTAAGGTAGGTTTATGTGGAAGTGTTCATTAAAAAAATACTTGGCCAAATTCAGCCCTGATGTAACCATTCACAACTCTGTTGCAGTCCACCTAAGCATTATTTAATGAAAATACTGTTGTTGTTTGTATTGTGGTAGCCCGCCCCTAGCAGCTTCCAGGCTGATTTGGGGCCCCCATAATCAGTAACAAAGAATTTGAAGTAACGGGGGAAGGATGACTATGGAAATGGTAGTAATATGTTTCCATAAGTCAGATATGTGCACAGCTACATGGTTTTGAGTTGTTGTTTTTATGTAAAGAGCTAGCAGTGTTTGGTTTTTGTCACTAGAGTAATCAGATGGGATTTAAACACACAGGGCCAACGTCTGCCCTAAGATTCACATGCACAAGTTTCATTGAGGACAATGGGAGCCTTGTGTGTATGTCCAAGGGAACAGTTTGGTTCACTGGTGACAGATGGGTTAAGATGTTTTGTTTAAATAGCTGCTCTTCTGACTTAGAGTGACTCATACCAATATTACTTTGCATCCTATGCACAACATTTCATTTGAAGATCTCTAAGCACTTTACAACTATTAATGCATACAACACCGTATGAGGCTTACAGAAGGCTTACAGTATTATCCCCATTGTACATATGAGGAGACTGAGAAATAGGCAGGGTAAGTGACTTGCTCAGAGTCACATAGCATGGCCATAGCAAAGTAGAGAATAGAATCCAGGTGTTCAGATTTTGTTGCTTTAACCACCAGACATGCTCCTTCCCTAACAGTCTCATAAAAAGGTATGGAAGGGGCAAACTGACGTTGTCACTTTTCTTGATTCGATAATTTTTTGGATTTTAGAAAGAAAAAAAAATCCTGTGTGTTATATTATTAAACCAGGTGTATTTCCTTTTATCTTCTGTTCTCACTGCCAGCAAGACAGCAGCATTACAACATAGGATAGTTGGGATACACCAGGGGTCGGCAACGTTTGGCATGCGGCTCGCCAGGGTAAGCACCGTAGCGGGCTGGGCCAGTTTATTTACCTGCTGACGCGGCAGGTTCGGCTGATCACGGCCCCCACTGGCCGCGGTTCGCCGTCCCGGGCCAATGGGGGGCCGAGAAGCGGCGCGGGTGAGGGATGTGCTGGCCGCGGCTTCCCGCCGCCGCCCCCATTGGCCCGGGACGGCGAACCGCGGCCAGTGGGGGCCGTGATCGGCCGAACTTGCCGCGTCAGCAGGTAAATAAACTGGCCCGGCCCGCTAGGGTGCTTACCCTGGCGAGCCGCGTGCCGAACGTTGCCGACCCCTGGGATACACCAAGAATCTCTAAGGGATGAAATTACAATTGCCAGTAGTTATGGTAAACAAAATCATTGCAATCTGGACCAGTTTATTCTAAACCTATTATTCAGCAGCTTCCAATAAAACAGTGCCCTGTTCTACATGTGGATGAAAGACATTGTCTCCCAAGGGCATTCCCTTTGAACACTTTGTTTTAATATTTTCCTCTCATATGTTTGTATTGATTTTCCTCAGCTGCTTACCTTTTCATGCTTTCTCTTTTCCCTTCCATAGTTTATTTTTCAGACTCCGCAGAGACAGGTTCAACAGTCAGAAAATACATTTGCTTTTTAAGCTGCAGGCAAGAGCAGCTGGCCTTCAAGAATCTCTGCAATCTGCCTAAAACAACAGTTAGGATGAGAAATTACTACTTGTAACCAGTTTCTTTAGTATCTTAAGCTTAGATTGTATTTTTGTTTTATTTGCTGGGTAATCTGCTTTGATTTGTTTGCTATCCCTTAAAATCCATCTTTTGTAGTTAATAAACTTGTTTTTGTTTTTCTAAAACCCAGTGTGTGGAGTTCATAACTGGGGAGCAAAAAGCTGTTGCATATCTCTCTCCACGTTGAGGAAGGGGATGAATGTCATAAGCTTACGCTGTACAGTTCTCTGTGCAGCACAGGACGGTATAATTTTGTGTTTATCCTCTAGAGGGGGTGTGCACCTGAGTACTGGGCAATTCCTTAGCTGAGCCTTCCCATGCAGAGCTGATTTCAGTGTCTGTGTGTTTCTGCAGCCGGCTGTGTCCCTACCTGTGTGCTGGTGAAAGTGTGAGACTGTCTGCAGCTTGTCGCAGCATTACAGGGTGAAAGGGAGCCCAGGCTTGTGGGTCAGGCAGGCTCAGTGGTACTCCAGTTGCAGGTGGCACCCCAGAAAGGGGGGGGGGAACCTGTCACACCCTCCTTAACCATTTTGGAGTGCATATCTTTTATCTGGTTTTGCTTTAGTGTAATACAAGTCATCTGCCCAGTGAAAATTCAGCAAAGATTCTCTTGAAATTCCTATTCACGCCATCACAGTACAGGAAGCAGCTTGTAAAACTAGGGCCTGCTCCTGCAAACCCTTACTAATATGAGTAATCCATGAAAAGCAATGGGAGTGCTTCCTGTCATCCATGTGAGGCAGGTAAATGTTATCCTCACTTTGTAAGAGGGGGGTAAATTTTAGGAGAGGTTTAAGGCATGATTTTCCAGAGGTGCTAAGCACCCACCATTCCCATTGCCTTCAGTTGGAATTGCAGGTGCTAGCCTCAGCCTTGACAGGCAGGCTCTTTGTGTCTTACTTGGGGTTACTCAGCAAGTCGATTGTTGAGCTGGGAAGAGACAAACTTCCTGAGTCCCAGGTCCTTGCTCTAAACAGTTAAACAGAATTTTTTTTAATGAGCCAATTAAGCCATCAGCTGTGTTCACAATCTGCCCTTGCTGAGAGAGTTTGGCAACAGGAGTGACTTCTCTTGCTTAATTGGCTGTTCTGTTTTATATTGAGCCAGTGCTTTGCTGATCTATCCACAATATTTATTCTGGATTTTTAATGGATTTTCAGGGCCAAGTTAGGTACTTAACCTTTTCTCTCTTCTGTACGTCTTTTATCACAATGGTTGGACCTTTTGTGTGTTACTGTCCCGTGTTCATTTTTGTGCTGGACTCAGTCTTTGTTTTTCTTTCCAAGTTGTAAGAGTTTGGGTATTTAATATTTTTATTGTGTAGTTGTTCACACCTAAATCACTTCCAAAGGGATGTAGATTCTTTATAAATAATATTGTATAACTAAATGGGGGGGAGGGATAGCTCAGTGGTTTGAGCATTGGCCAGCTGAGCCCAGGGTTGAGAGTTCAATCCTTGGGGGTGGGCCACTTGGGGCTCTGGGGTAAGGTCAGTGCTTGGTCCTGCTGGTGGAGGCAGGGGGCTGGACTCAGTGACCTTTCAGGGTCCCTTCCAGTTCTATGAGATAGGTATATCTCCATATATTAAATTAATTATATATTAAATTTTGGCTGTACACTGCTGCTTTAAGTCTAAGCAGTAAAAGAGCTCAGCAGAGCCTTGGCTTCATAGATGGCACATCTTTTTTAACTTACAGCAGTGACAATGAATATTGATGTTAAGCTGGTTTAATGCAGTTACTCTCAGTGACATGTGGATATTAGAAAGTCATTGGGAAAATGTCATTATTGGCCATTTCTTCTTTTTTGGAGCAATTTTACAGACAGTATACATTAGACATTCAATTCTGTAATTTACAGTAAGCTTCCTGGATCCCTGCTGTGTATCAGAAGTAGTCTTTAGTGATGTGATATATTGGTGAAAAGAAACATGTGCTTTACCTATTTCTCGCAGAATTCTAGGAAAGCAGAGTTACAGCTGTCTTTCCATCAAGTCACATTAGAATTATTTTGGTCCTCAAAAATTGAATGTCCCCAGGGTCCAGTGGGATATTTTTAATAGGTAGAACCTTGTAGTTTATATAGAATTGATTTTAATAGTTCAGCAATAAAAACAGACATTTCAGAAGGAAAACTAACTGAAGTTAATATTTCTCATTAAAGCATTTTTATTTCTCCCAAAAGATTCAAATTAATTTGGCCAAATTTGACGCTGTCATGCCCATCCCCCCATGTCTCTCTTGATTTCATTGGGGATGTATCCCTGTTAATGAGGACAGTTGGAGGCCCAAGTCATTTTAAAAGGATACTCTCTATTTCAAAGCAAGTTAACTTTTCACCTTTTTATTAATTAACTAGAAAAAATAATAAGTGACTTATTGGCTCAGTTGAAGGCTGCAAACCCTCTCAGGAGCTGTAAATTCATCAGCTTCCTTCCTGTCTGTTTCCTAAGAATATATGAAATGAATCTGTATTATGTGTATGCATTGGCGGTGTGAGCCTCTCCTCCCCTCTTCTTTTTGTTACCATTACCCATTCAACTGCCAGGCTGACCCTGCTGATAAAAGAATTTGCACTGTAGTTTGAGAGAGTTCAGTTGAATAAAATCTCTAGAATAGTAAATCTTGTGTTTCATAGGTGGCAGGATTAAAAAAAAAAAAGAACTGTGGCAGCAGCACAATATCAAATTACCAGTGGTGAAAGATTGGAAATAGTGGAGGTCTGGCAAATTAAAGTGGCAGAAACTTCCCATGCAAAGATTCTTGCCTTTGTGATCGGTTTTCTAAGTGGTAAACCAATTATGATCTGTACATAATATCTAATATCTAGTTGCAAAGTACAACTCGATACCTAGTTCACACACATCAGCTTTGTTGGTCTGAAATAATTCCACAGTTAAATTAGGGGGCACAAAACTTATTTCTATTGCAGCATGCAGACAGTTTAACTTGTCAGGAAGCTTAAGGAAAAAATATTTTTGGAGTGCAAACTCCCCATTCTCAACAATACCCCTCTAAGGAATAACATATTTTACCGTTTGCAGGAGACTGTTCAAGACCCAAAATTACTTTCCTTTTACCTCTTTTTATTGCCAGCACAGGTACGAGTTACACCCTTGTTACTATATCTCTTGTTTATATGATTTAATAATATACTAAACCCAAAATTTTCATGTCCTATGGCAGTTTTTTAAACTGTTTATTCCACAATATTTTTTCCAAAATCTTTAATTTGCTAGATGCTGATATTTGGGATTTGCAGTTTTAGATACAAATTGCTGAAGGGAAGACTTAATACATTCTGCATCTGACCTTTTCATATGCTGGAATGGCTGTTTCCAAGAGACATGCATCTTCATGGCCCCTTTGAAAGGATAGTTGCTCACAAATACAATTCTGCCTCTGCACCAGTATACTTATCCTATGATTTAAGGGGAGGGATGGTCTTGTGGCTAAGGATGGGGCATGGTGTTGAAAGCCTAGGTTCTGTCCTGCTGCTGCCTCTGGCTGACTGTCTGGCATTGAGGAAGATCACTTAACTGCTCTGCATCTCATGTTCTCTGTTGGAAAATGGGGATAAAGATACTTCCCTAGCTCGCAGAACTGTGATAATTAACTGAAAGACTTGTTATTAGTAATGCACCTTGAGATCCTCACATGGAAACCATCTTACAAGTATAAGGTGCTCTTAATTGCAGGCCGTGGACATAATGCAGCACTCTATCATCTGCAGAACATAGACTTATGGCAAGAACAGAGTAAGTTGACAGTGTAGGGTAACTCTAGTTCTGACTCTTCTGATTTTTTTTCTTTGTGCATACCTTAAACATAGTGTGGTTGACATTTCTTCATTTTAAATTACTAGAATTAAAATGTAAGGCAGGACTCAAGAAGGACAAATTTTGGGGATCATCAAGATTTATTAAGCACATTACTGGAGAATTATAATTAATCATAGAAATTAGAGATGGAAAAGACCTAATAAGTGATCTGGTCCATCTCTCTCAGGTTATGCAGGATTGTTCCCTTCAATATATTTTTCTAGTGATTTTTTTTTTATCCATTTATGACTGAGCATCTGCTATTTCACTTGATGGATTGCTTCGCAGGCTAACAAATATAATTGGCCGGCAGATATTCTTGTTGTTCCTCCATAATTTTCTCTTTGCTAGTTTCATCCCAATACTTCTACTTGTATGCAGTTTGCATCATTCTAAACAATTTCTTTCTTGCTTTTTCTTGTTTGCATGTCCATCTTTCATCATCACTAAGAAGAGTCTGGAAGGATATAAAGGCCGGGGAACATTTTAATTTACCTTTTGTAAATATTCTGCCTTCCCATCCTGGCAATGAAAATCTCTGGCACTACCTGGTTTACTAAATCCATTGGTTACCAGGATTTAATAGTATCACTGGTATTGGAGAATGATGTATTTTTGGGATGTATCTTTGCAAACTAGAGAGTGACAGAGAACATCGCAGAAGGAAAGGATTTGAAAAAGGTGAATTAAGCTATTTCTGTGCTGATTTATCCTCTGTCGCCTAGATCATTCTGGGACACTGCACATTTTTTTATTAGACTTCTCTGAGTTTTCAGTTCAGTTTTGTGCTTTTAACCCCCCCCCTTCCATTCTCTTCATGCCATGTCCTCTCTCTTGCTAATCATATATCTTTGTCATAGACCTTTTTTGGATATTGTGTATGCATAAAAAAAGAATGATGATTGCAGTTTGAGATTCCTGGCTAGAGTGAATTCTTTAGTCTTCATGGCAGCTGCACTTTTCTCCTTGCCCCAAATAAAATGTCTTGGCTTACTTATAGTTTTCTGATATTGTGGAGTTAGATTTCTGATATTAATTCCAGACAGTCGTATTCTACCATTTATCTTTTCATGGAGCTTCCTCTGATATCTATGAAAGTTTCTGTGTAGAATGTGGCCCATCTTTTTGGTAAGGCTTTCTCCATTTCTGAGAGTTCTCAGTCCACAGTGTTATGTGGTTGGGGTATTATGTTAATTTTAACATGCTAGCCTTGGGTAATCCCATTTCAGCATGCAACAGAGAAACAAAACATGGTTTTGGTATCTTGGGTGTGTTTTTTGTGACAGCAACACACACACTCTCTCAAGGAGACAAAGTTGTATTGTCTAGGGCTGTTGTGATTTTTGTGGAGCACTTATGTGAAGCTGGAAAGAATGGATTAGAGGAACTGTTCTGCATTCCCTTTGCCTGTGCACAGGCCAAAGAGTTGGTTGTTTCCCCCTTCCAGATACTGTTGGGGTTCTTTGCACAGCTCCCTATTGTTCTTTGTCCAAGAAGGGTTTTATTTATTCAGAGTTTTTAAGGCCAGAAGGGATCATTGTGATCACCTAATCTGACCTGCATAACTGTAGGCTGTAACTTGTGGTTGAATAGAGTATTTCTTTTAGAAAGGCATCCAGTCTTGATTTAAGAACTTCAAGTGATGAAAAATCCATCATTTTACCCTGTCGGGGATTCTTTTGGGGTGGTGTTCATGTAAGTTGATTTGTCAATAAGCTTTGTATATTATTGTGGGGTTTTTTGTATATGGGCCTTGAGTTTCTGGTGTGGGTGCATTTTCTAAATGGAAAAATGATGACAGCCATGGCTGCCTGCACAGTCACTGCACTATGAGTGTCTAACTTATTGCTATCAGATATTTTGGATGTGAAAGGCTGTGTCCCTAAATCCAGATTTTATCCTCTGTCTTTCATTTGTGTTTTCTTTGCTCCTGGCAGTTTTAAGAACTTTGACTTGGAGGACTCTCAGAAATGTGCAGTAGACTGGCTGATGATTGGCCCCTCTTCCAAGAGGGAGGAGTACAGAGTGTGTGGATCCTCCATACCACCCTCCTTTATCTCTGCACGGGATCACGTCTGGATATTTTTCCACTCAGACGCATTGAGTTCGGGACAGGCTCAGGGATTTCGCCTTTCCTACATCCGAGGTAAAATCTCTGTACAGTTTTAATTAATTTTGTTGGACTATGCAGAAATACTTAACCACCCTGACCCCAAATCCTGTGACAAAAGTGGCTTCTGTTGACCAAAGTCTTCTGTAAATGCCGATGAGTCATTAGAAGCTTGTATATTTTCACCATTTGGCTTTATTAGAGAATTCTTCTGGCGAAGAGCTGGACCAAGGGTCAATGGCTGCACACTGGGGTAAAATATTAGAACTAACACACGGCATCAGTTGTTTCTAAAAGTTTTAATATTTATTTTTTCCCCACAGGAAAAATAGGCCAGGCTATTTGCCAGTCTGATGAATTTCATTGTGTAAACGGCAAGTGCATTCCCAACACTTGGAAGTGTAATTCCATGGATGAGTGTGGGGATAACTCGGATGAGAGAAACTGCACCATCCCTCCAACAGAGCCTCAGTCCAGCATCTGTCCCTCAGGAACATTCCAATGTAGCATAGCCCATTCCACCAAGTGCTTGATAAACGAGTTAAGATGTAATTCAGTTAAAGACTGTAGTGATGGTTCAGATGAAGATAACTGCCCTGATCTTTCATGTGGCAAAAGACTGGGTAATTTTTATGGGTCTTTCGCTTCCCCAGACTTATTCCGTGCAGATCACAGCCGGGCAGACCTTCGCTGCACTTGGTATGTGGACACACAAGATAATCGGCATGTCCTCTTGCAGCTTGATTTACAGTTAGGGTACAATGACTATGTAAAGGTGTATGATGGAATTGGAGAGAGAGGTGATAAATTAATGCAAACTCTTTCATATCACAACAACAGGCACTCGGTGAGCGTGGAGTCCTCAAAGGGTCAGCTCACCATTTCATATCATGCCAGATCAAAGAGTACCGGCCATGGATTCAATGCAACTTATCAGGTGAAAGGTTACTGCCTTCCGTGGGAACACCCTTGTGGAAGTGATGAGGAGTGTTTCACAGATAAGCAGCATTGTGATGGTTGGTGGCACTGTCCAAATGGCAAAGATGAAGAGAACTGTCCAGCTTGCCAGAAAAATGAATACCCATGCGAAGGAAACAGTGGACTGTGTTATTCAATACTTGACCGATGTAATAACCAAAAGAACTGCCCAGATGGCTCAGATGAAAAGAACTGCTTTACATGCCAGCCAGGAAACTTTCACTGTGGCACAAATCTGTGTATCTTTGAGACTTGGCGCTGTGACGGCCAAGAAGACTGCCAGGATGGAAGTGATGAACATAATTGCCTGGTTATAGTGCCCAGAAAAGTCATCACAGCTGCTCTGATTGGGAGTCTTGTCTGTGGCTTGCTGTTGGTGATAGCACTGGGTTGTGCATTTAAACTCTACTCACTAAGGACCAGGGAATACAGGTGAAAATCTTGTATGTTCATAATGTCCTAACTTTACTAGGTGAGCCTTTCTTTCAGTCACTTTAGGGGAAAGAATAAAATATCCATTCAAGTGAATTTTGAAACAAGCAGTAAAACTAAGCCAGGGTCCAATGAAACTGATGGGATTTAAAAAATGGCCACTGTGCTGTTTATTTAGCAGTAAAAGCTAATGGCCTACATTTTGACAAGTGGCTATTTGACTGTCTCTTCCTCTATATTTACAGAGTAATGTGCCACACTGTTAGTTCTTTTGCATATCTCAGCCTCCTAGTGAAGAGAAGAGTTTCAGTGAGTGGAGGTACCTTTACTTCTGTTGTTATGAAAACATCTATTTTAATGTAGTACTGCCCTGCTGGCTGATGACACTAGCCCTAAGGGAACTGGGAGAGAAGACTCTGTTTTTAGAAAGGTCTGTTTGTGTAATTTTTGTGGGTTCCTTCCCCATTTTACTCTGGTTCTGTTGGTTTCAGATCATTTGAAACCCAGATGACTCGTCTTGAGGCAGAGTTTGTACGACGTGAGGCTCCACCTTCCTACGGGCAGCTCATTGCACAAGGACTTATCCCGCCAGTTGAAGATTTCCCTGTTTACAATGCATCGCAAGTAAATGGTTTCATTCTACATTCAAACTATCAAAAACTAGATAGACTGAATGAATCTGAAGCAAGAGTAACAATGAAGTCACTTTAATTTATGAAAATGCTCTTGTAACAACATGATTTCTTCTGTACTGAGGAATTGCTGTTATACATTTTAGTGGTCTGGCTAAGTTTTCTAGTTAGATGGGGACTCATGCGTATGTTGAAAGCTAAATGGATAAAAAAAAGTTTTACATCAAAATAGCAATAAATAGACAAATATCAAACTAAAACAGAAAGGAAACCAGCATTTCAAGCTGAAAGTACAAAGGAATTTCCTTTGTATAGAAAATACAATAAGGAGTGTGGGCATTTGTCTTCTGAAAAATTCTGGAGTTATTTTTATTAACAAATGCAAATCTTATTAACAAAAAGTCCTGTTGTATTTTTGTACTCTCCCATATCTGCCTTCCTCTCTCTCTGTCCAATGCATTTCACTCCCTGTTGTGATATCTTCATGACCTGACACAGCACTTGTAATTATGCAAGCAGAGGGGAGGTTTGTGGCATCAACTATTATCAAGTCCTCCTGGCATTGCCTGTGAGACAGGATTCAGTGGACCAATAGTGTGGTCCAATATGGCAAATCCTGCATCTAACCACGCTGAGTTGATTATTGCTGGGGGGCGTCTTGTTAAATGCAAGTGGTGAGAAAAAGTTCTGGAGGAAAGAAGTTTGATGCAGACTGAGCTGTCTTTGGCTTGATTTTTAAGCAGGAGTTTAAACTTAAACTGTAACCTTTCCGTCTGAGTAGCATTCTTAGGAGTCAGATGGAGAATTTAGTGGGCAGGACAGTCTTAGATATTTGATAGTGTACTCCAGTGGAAACATCAAGAAATTACAGTTCCTTGATTCTGTTTTATAGGCATCTGTGCTGCAGAACATCCGAACAGCAATGAGGAGACAGATGAGACGCCACTCATCGAGACGGAATTCATCTCGGAGGCGCTTGGGCAGACTCTGGAACAGACTGTTCCACAGGCCACGGGTGAGAGGGCAGATCCCTCTCTTAACACCTGCGCACACTTCCCAAACAACGCTGGGTGATGGAATTATCAATCACACCGAAGGGAATATCCAGAATCCCTCCCCTTCCCCTGAAGGACCTAATTCAGAGGCAGAGACCTATGGTCAGGTTAGAGGGCTACAAGAAGCTGGAAGTAGCATTTTGCAGCCAGAGACTGAAGCCACAGAGCCATCACCTTCTAGTGTTTTATCTAATACTTGCACGGCTGCACAGGCAGAGCCTGAGACTGGACACAGTGACAAATCTTCAGGTGCTGAGGAGACCTCCAGCACTGAGCTTAAACAAACCAAGAGGGTGGATTCAGGAAAAGCTTTCAGAGACCCTTTGTCTGAAAGTGTTACAGAAACACTCCGTGGAGGATCAGTATCCAGAAGAACTGTTGCAGAGAACAGTAATTTAAACAGGAGTCATCTGCTGAGTGAAGAGCCATGTAGATTACCCTTAAAAAAGTGGGAGTCCAATTACTCAGACAGCCCTATGAATGTTTGTATTCAGGTGGATGGACAGCAGCGATGTTGCCCTCATTCCTATCGGGAAGAACCTTTGGGTATTCACGCGACTTGTTGCCATTCTGTGGAAGTGCCAATGCTAGAGTCCTCTACTCCCCTCTCAGAAATCAATACCAGTGATGATGAATCATTACTAGTTTGCTAATGACATTTTGTTTTGGCCCCGTAGATTTTGTAACTTTAAAATGTACATTGCAGAGCACACTGATTATAACTGACACATCCATGCTCTCAGCGTAGTCTGTTAGAACCAATGTGCATTTATCCCAGAGGGAGTAGAATACCTATGACAAGACTATGGGACAAATTTTGTCTTTGTTGATATGCTTGAAACTCCAGTGGGGTAAAACTGGGCCAATGTATGTGTTCAGGGGCCAAGAGTGAGTGAGAATCTATTGTCACAATTTGGGAGTTTTTCCATCCTCCTTTGTTTCTTCTGTGCATTTATTCACTTTCACTTTGCAATCAGGGAATTTGAGTTTGTTTAGTTTAAAGTCACTTACTATTGACATTAATGTGCTAGAGAGAAATCAGTTGCAGTCTGTGTAGGCGTCAGTCACAGGGAATTACAACTGTCAGTGTTCAGCTAGAAATATCAAATTATTGTCTTTTTAGATTATTGGTTTTAATTAAAAAACGTTTACAGAGCCCTAAAATACATTTAGCAGAAAGTCAAATCCCTATGTCTCCTCTTTCTCTTTTCTGAAAATTACCACTTTTTCTCCATTCCCTTCAGAAGTGTATTGTTGGCCATAGATATCCAAAAGCATCTATTGCAACCAAAGTTTCTGTATTCTGCATACAGAGAAGAATCAGGTTTTTTATCTGCTAGAACTTTGTAATAACAAATTAGCCATGTTAACAATAACTGGAGTGCATTAAGCCCCATTTGCAGCAATCCATTTGTATTATCAGATATTTTATCATATTCACAATGGCTTTGTTAAGTTTGAATCTTTTTTTTTTTTTCTTCTCTTTTTTTAAGGTCTTAGTATCATGCCATTTTAGGGCATGGTCTAGAGCAGTTTTGGGCAACCTGCGGCCCGCGGGCTGCACGCAGCCCATCAAGGTAATCCGCTGGCGGGCTGTGAGACAGTTTGTTTACATTGACTGTCTGCAGGAACGGCCGCCTGCAGCTCCCAGTGGCCGCAGTTTACCGTTCCCGGCCAATGGGAGCTGCGGGAAGCAGCGGCCAGCATATCCCTGCAGCCTGAGCCGCTTCCCGCAGCTCCCATTGGCCGGGAACTGTCCACTAGGAACTGCGGCCGGTCAATGTAAACAAACTGTCTCACGGCCTGCCAGTGGATTACCTTGACAGGCCGCAGGTTTCCTACCACTGGTCTAGAGAGTTAATGAGTGCTTCCTGCTCTCATTAGCTACAGTGGGAATTGCAGTTGGTGAATTTTTTAATGGTATACGCATTCTTTTGTTGTTCTTTTAGATACATGCTAGCTGAAAAGATCGGCACCATTTTCAAAACTGAAAATGTGCAGACTTCTAAGTAGTTTGGGTAGACCCCTGTGCCTTTTGCTTTTTAAATTTTAATTAAAAACAGCTAAGCTACTTAACTCTGAGACGTGGTGATGTTGCCTAGATAGGAGTGACTCACTACAGAACAACAAAAGTTATCTGGTGAAATCCTGGCTCTGTTGAAGTGAATGGGAGCTCTGCTATTGACTCCAGTAGGGCCAGGATTTCACCCCATATTTTAATGTACAATTTCTACTTTAGTTTTCCTCTTCTGAAGAAGCACATAATTTTAAAAAATACTGTCAGCAATTTTTTTTAGAATGAAGAAAGTAAGTTAGTTGCCACTCCTTTATAGGGAAACAGGTGCAGGATGGTGTGTATCTCAGTACTCTGAGACCTGTCTACTACTGTAGGACAGCTTCCAGTTAGGAAGTGAATAGGAGCCTTAACTCCAGATTGTGCTGACAGAGTTATTAATTAATCTTCTATTAAAACTGCACAGTCCAAATAGTCTTTAACTCCTGCAGGTCACTTGAATGTGATGGGAGTTGAGCCTGTGCAGTGAAGGGTGAATTGACACCTGAGTGTCAAGATGTTTATCCTTTTAATGGGCTATATTCTGCCCTTGATCTGTGTACAGAACTCCCAGTGGGAGTCCCAGCCAAGAAATGAGGTCAGGGCTAGGCCCACTGTGCTTTGGTTGGCTTTGCCAAATCATAATGTGAAAGAACAGCAATGATGTGCTTTATTTTTCCTCTGACACAAATTACTTTGATAGTGTGTTTTCCAGAACCAGGAAGAAGCAGAAGATTCAAAATTGTAAAAAGGTTAGGAGTAGGCAAGGGTTTTGGTCCAAGTGCATTCCAGTAAAGAATCATAGTAACATGAAGTAAAAAATAAAAATACTGTTTGATCAGATATTTCCTTCCACATATTTCTGTGGTCAGAGGTCATTTAGCCAAACAAAAAAGTAGTTTTGAGAATATTTTACTTTCCTAGCATTTGTAAGCATTTTAGGTACATTCCACCCTTAAAAGGTCATGTACTGTAGTCATTAACCTGCCAGGGATGTTTGTGTCCAAGGCTACAGTTTTTAGTGTCTCTTTTTGTCTAAAAGTAATTTTAAGTACATAGAATTGTATTTATAAAATAGTAAACTTAGTTATAATTGGGAGAAAAGATTACATTTCAGGGGAAATACTGTACAAACAAAAAGAACCTTATAAATAAATGTATATTTAATTCTGTTACAGAAACATATTTCTTTCTATAATAAAATCATTTTGATCCTACTAAGCCTTAAATTATATTATCACTATTGTAATGTTCTTCTGACAATTTAAGTTGAAATATGTACTTCAGAACATAACAATCTTTTGGTACAGCAGTGCACAACTAGTAACGCCATCCTTTAGCTTAAAAAAGATGTAACTTCAAATAATTTCTTAGTATCGCTTTCAGACATATTTTGCGTACTGTTGAAGATGCATTTTGATAACTAAATGGTAATTTAAACAAATCAGTTTTTATTTCTTCCTTGTATATTTAAGCATCACAACTCGAAACTGAAAAATTGAAGCTGTAATGAAGTTTACAAATGCCATCATCCAGGAAATCTTCAGCTTCCTCTTTGTGGAAACGTATAGCCCTGCATAACTAAAATATAAAGCTTTTTGCTTTTTGAAAAGCACATAACTTTTTTGTAGTCTCAATAAACTGTGATTTTTGTTTTGTCTAGTATATTGCTTAAAGTGAAGAATCCCTAACTCTTGTTAAACATTTTGCAGGAGAAATCTGTTGTGTTCTGTAAGTACAAACGAGTTGTGCATTACAGTATCATGGACTGGAGAGACTTGATAGAAGATATGAGGTTTGCCTTACTATAGACCTAGTATTTTCCCAGCTTTTAAAGATTTATTTAATTATATTTAATTTTCCATGAAGAAACCTTTATTTTATTTGTTTTAATATAAATTGCATGTTCATAAAGGCTTAAAAAATAGTTGGAAAAACTGTAACTGAGACAAAAATGTAAAGGAAAAATGAATAATAACCTTTTCTTTGTTCCTTTTGAGATGAGGGAAAATATCATCATGCTTCAATGGCTACATAAGCCAATAACATTGTTCAAATTCTTATTTTTATGTTAATCTCATAGTGCATTTCTTGGGATCTTTGACGTTTTTGAATGAAAGGGGGAAATATTTTAACATTTTAAAAAAAATCATGTCTGATGTATTTAACTCTCTTTAACCACAGTTCTTTAGCAAGAATGGTGCAAGCATTAAAGAGAAAACTGAACTCCAAATGCTGTTCATCTCTCTTGTTGCTGTTAAAACAGTGAGAGTCAGTGTGTCTGAACTTTCTGACATCTGTCAGTTTGTACTACAGTCCTCTACATGTAATTTTGTTGTGTAACTACCTTCTTGGGTGATTTTTGTTGACACCTCAGCCTGCTGCAACATTTTGCTTATGTTTGTATTTATTCCATGAAACCTTCTAAAACTTTACCATACTTTATCATGCATATGCCTTAGTTTGAACATGTAGTGCCAAATTGTCAAAGGTACTTAAAAACGCACACCCACAATTCCATGTGCTACCCAACATTTGCAAATCAAATATGCTTACATTTGCAGTTACCTTCTTTGCTCATCTATATGCTTGTTTTAGTGTGAAAATACTACATGTATTTGCATGTGTGTACGTATGTAGAAGCCCTCAAAAAAAATTTATGTTCACTTCTTTAGAGGCATATCTGAAAATTTGTCCTTAATTCTTTACAGCAGTGGTATCAGTCACTCCTTTCAACTGGGTGAAAATGCATCGGTAGTACTGTGTACAAATGGTTTTAAAAGGCATATATTTACCAAAAATAACCAACATTAACTCTGGCATAACTTGTTCTAGGTCTTGTTCCATCTGAAAACAGCTTCTTTGGGTTCCTGGGTCTCCGAGCCTCTTCATTCTTCACAGCTACAGGGGATACTCATAATTGTTTTGGTGAAAGTTCCCTCTCTCCAGCCTTTGTTCAGTTTTTCATAGTGGAGTCCTTGGCTCTTCCCTGCCTGATTTTCAGTAGATAACAGTGGGACTCTCTTAAGCATTCTCGATGCTGGTAGGGACCAACTACCCAGATTCAAATGCTGTCACTGTTGTGAGGGGAATTGGATGAATTCTGTTGTCGTCAAGACTTTTCTACAGTCAAAAAGAGTGGGGTGAGCCGTGAGCATGACTTGTCCCCTAGTAAATCTTACGACTGTACAAATCGTTAAAGTACACGACTTGGTTTACGATAAGGTGCTGACACAGCTATAACTATAGTGGCACAGTCAGTGAGATTGTAACTCTAATACTGATGTGAGGCTGAAATTAATACAGCCCATACAATGGAAATGGAGTAATAAAAAACCCCTAAACACCACGTGCTCATAGCAAAACTCATTGACAGCCTCTGCAGCAGAATGGATGTGTGAAATGGCAAATTAAGGAACGATTGCTGATCCAAGAGTTTTGGTCTTCACATGAAATAGGATTTTAATCTCCCAAGCAGCAGTTGGTATTTTTAACCTGTGAAAATGGATAGATGCCTCAAATAAAATATTGACTTTGTCCTCATGACCTCAGTTCTGCAGGTAGCAAAAGTAATCATAATATTTGTTTTGTTAGTCTATTGTTAACCTACCAAGTTCTATTAAACTGTCCTTCTCCCTCTCCCAGTCCTGGCTTTGGTGTTCTTGGCTGCAAGGTTTAAATGGCCACAAAGAAATTTGCAGGATGACATGAGTGAGTGGGACAGGCATATTTTTAACTGCTATGTATTGTTATGCTTTTCATACCTTATTAGCCCTTCTCTAAGTTTCCTTTCCTATTAGAGCTGTTTCCTTTCTTATGAGATTAGAATAAATGGAACTGTGGTAATTTAGCCTTTATTCCCTGTTCCTTCCATTGGCCCTCAAAAGGAGACACCTTCACCTTCCCCTGTCCATGTCAGTGACCAAAGTGCAGAAGGAACAATCCATGAAGATTTGCTCTGTTCGCACCAGGAACCGGTGGAGCTGTGAGATTGTTCACTCTGCTGTAGTTGTTCCCTTCTGGTGAATGTTGGCCTTTTATAAACCATTCTGAAGAGTCGGGTGGGAGCTGCTCACGCTGTTGCTAGTGAGGAGTCAGCCAGAGCTGGTGGTTCATTGCTGCTCCAATTGGTGCCCGTGCGTGTACTGGGAGCATGGAGTGGAGGACTGATAGGCCTGCCCTTTCCTCTGCTCCATCTCTGCCTCCTTGGGTCACTGAGGCATGTGTTCCAGCCTTTGACTTCAATGGAAGCTATGCATGCACAGTGAAATACCCACATCTACTGCAGTAGCTGCAAAGTATTTGGAGGTTTGTCCTGTGTTATGTACACAACATATTGATAATTGTCATGGCAAGTGACACTATAGTGGAGACACTTCTATCAGGAATTTTTC